TTCATCCTGTCATTCATGGCCTCCATGGCTCCATGTCACCTTCAACCAGTGCATCCATTGTTCCTTCTTGAAGTATACAAACAAGTCGATATAAACCCGTGAATAGATGTGTGTGTATATATTATATACACGGCATATAAATTAATAAAAAAGAGATCTTGACAAGATACCAATTACCCAACAGGGACGAGACGGTTTTTGACGTCCTTCTCTTCAAACAGATCTTTCAGTTCTTAATTGGCAGCTCCCATGTTACCTCACTTTCCGATCAAACCCAACTGACAGCTCCCCTGCCACCATCGGCTGCCTCTTCCCCACACAACCAGCTGACATTGCCCGAGTCAAAAACATCTCTGACGTCATCATTGAGAGAGTGAAATAGAGAGAGATCTAACAGAGAGAGAGAGTGAAATCAAGAGAGCTGAAATCGGAGAGAGAGGCCCAGAAATTGAAGGACATCGTTTAGGACTCTTTAGTTTTGTCATTTCATTCCTCAATTAACGGCAAATTGAAGGATTGTACTTATATGCTCAATTTGGAAAATGTAAGGGAATTTTTGGGATTATGTGGCATAAGTTTGAAAAAGTATTTTATCATTTCCCCTGGTTGTTATGTTAGGATAATGTTTTTTGATAATTTAGTATTGAAAGGGGTAACCTAGTAGGAAGCCAGGCTCGAGATGCTTGGAGGGCTGGACCCCTTTGTATTTGGTGGGAGCTTTGGCATGAAAAAAATGTCTCTCGAAGTTTTGATGGAGTTGAAGCTCTGGCATGGATGATAAAACACCATATTCTGAGCTATCTTCTTTTGGGTTTCGGGAGGGCTTATAAGTCTGTGGAGGAATTTCTTGATTTTTTGGATAGCCTGAGATTTTTTTTTTTTCATTGGCAAGAAACACAACTCACACACCCACTCATTTATGCTTTTTTGCCCACACCCGGACTCGAACCCCTTCCCTCCTCTTTGAGGATGGGAGGTTATACCATTGGGCTAGATGCCCTTTGGTTAGCCTGAGATTGTAGAGATGCAGATAATAGTTAATATTCTCCCCTTTGTGCAGTTGTTCTTGGATTCACTTCCCTCTGAGTGCTGCTTAATGAAATCTTACCACCATCAGGTCAAATCACCATCTCCTTCACAATCCATCATTAACCTTTTTCTGATTCACATCACTATCTCTATTCTGCCCCCTTTTCCTAGACAATCCATACTCACTCAAATATCACATTTCTTATTTCCTGTGGTGCCATCTACAACAAATATTCAGAAGTTAAAACTGAATTTGGACTGAGCATTAGGCAAAATTTTGAACTTCTGATTGGTGTGCTGGAGGCGGTGCAAGAGCGTGGAGAGAGAGATTTGATGAAAAGAAATAGGTGCCTGAAAGAATGGAAAAAAAGAGGAGGAAGCACAAGTGTGAACTCAATGGGAAATTTCACCCGCTACCCTTTGAAATCCGCCAAAGGGATGAGAGTAAAGATTTTTGGCAAACATGGATGATAGATGAGATTGACACTCAATCCTGTATTTCTTTCTATTGTCAAAAGATGAATCTTACAAAAAGTTACCGATGGGAGTAATATTTAACTTGTCAAAACTGAGATATACCCCAAAAGAAGGCAAGAGTAGTAAAACAAAGCCCTCTCTAATCTAGACAAAGTGTAGCATAAGGGAAGATGAAAAGAACATGAGCTGAAATAGATGAAATCGTGGTATCAAAGACCAACATATCTAGTTAAACATGCGATTAGTCCTGTTCTCTTGTGTAAAATTGCTCCTTTCAGGTTAAACCAATAGTGTATTTTTGTTGAATGTGATCAGTCAACTACTAATTCCAAAATATTATATTAGGATGCTCGTTGAGGTACAGAAGTCCATATGGTAAACTATATTTGTTTGTGTAATGTCTTTATCTGCATAACATTGTTCTAAGCGCAACTTGTGACTTATAAGCTGATGCATAGATTATTATTATTATTATTATTATTTTGGTGGGTGTTTGTGTGTGTGGGTGTGTGTTATGGATAATTAAGTTGATGCATAATTTTCTAATACCTATAACCCCTTTGAAATTCCAAACTGGTGTCACGCTATGCATGTTTGATATTTTCTGTGAAGTGCTTGATATATGATTTTCTGTTAAGTGCTCAAAATGATTCATGCCTTTTGTGTTTTACCAGCAATATGTATTGATCATATTGCCTTTTCAAATCAAACTTCTACAGGTCTTAGTTTTGTCCCAGATGCTGGATATTCAAGGTTCAACCAAGGAGCTTCACACCACGTTCATGTGCCTATTAGTAGCCGCAAGATTCCTTTGGTATTGCTTGCAGATACAATTGTAGGGTTTTGGCAGTTTAGAGTATATACTTCCTGTATGTTTCCTTGGTTGTGGAGTTAGTGTAAACTAGAGTTACATCTGGTGGATCAATGAAGCCGACTTAAACAAAGCATGTATTTGGAATCACTTGAATTTCCAGAAATTTTGATATCGTCACAAGAACCATTTATGTATATACGTGTTATAAGCTATGACAATGGTATCAAGTTTATCATCTGCTTCTTTGTTGCCTATTTCCGCTTTGTTCATATCCAGAGTCCGGTTGGAAGGTTTGGCAATGGCTCTTATAGGAGTTTATAGAAACTTTCTTCAAATGTTCTTCCACACAGGCTACCCATTCAGACGTGTCTCGTAAATGCAAGTCTTTTCATTCATTTTCATTGATACTTCGATGCAGATGGGCGTGGACCCTGGCAAATTAGTTCTACCTGGAAACCACCTTTTTGGAGTCTTAGGGGGCTTTGTAAATGATAACAATGCATTCTGGCTGGTGAGAAAATAGAATTGTCGACTCCATTTTCTGGCTGGTAAGTGGTTGCCTTTAGAAACACAACAGAAATTTTAAACCCGAAATGAGTAGATATTGCTGTTATTTTGTGTAAATCATAATGAGGATCTGCAAAATGAGGAGGCACAGGTTCTAAAGGGACAAGAGGTTAGAGGGGACAAGGGAGGGTGTAAGGCTCAAACACGGACTTCCGGATATGGGAAACAACTCAACCACTTGGGTAACACGGCTCGGACTCCCGGATATAGGAAACAACCCAATCACTTGGGTTAGAAGGCGCTTGCAGGGTGGTATGATATCTCTTCCAAAAGAAAAGATTTGAGTGTTCCAACCTTACTAAGAGCAATATTGTAGATGTGTGAGTTTTTTAAAACTTTTGGGAAAAAAAAAAAAAACACAAATGTAAACGAATGTTTCCAATGGGACACAAGTGAGGAGAAATTTTTACATGGTCTGGTTAATCATAACTTGTGCATTTGCTTGTGTTAGGTTTATTCAAACTCTTGCCTACAAATCATATTGTTTGTTAACAAGGGCCTTGTAGTCCTCGACCATGTAATAATTTCTTGTTAACACATCTTCAATCAAAAGTGCAAAGTCAATGCTGCATAAGCAAAGCAAGTGGTGCCTCCATCTAACCTAGATCCCAGAAGGGAATTGTGTATTGAGGTAGCCCTTTATCCACATCAGTTACAACAAATATATACAACGTCATTGGTATAACCAACCAACACAAACACTCTAATAAATCAAAGTAATTGGTATTTTAATAATTTACTAAAATGTTATGAGATCACTATAGTTTAATAGCACGTTTCTATTAGTTGGTTATATTAATGACGTGGTATATCCTTATAAGATAATTTCTCCTCCATTGGTGCTACTCATCTGTTTTGTTTCATCTCCTTCACCTTCTTCCTCATCTCACCATCCTTTCTCATCAACCACCTTATTACGCTCTCTATCTCTTCTTCACTCAACGAAAATATGACATAATAATATGCATCACAAGATTCACAAGCAATAGAGAAAACAACAACAACAACTTGGCTTCTAAATATGAGAAATTACAAGAAAACAGAACCCTTTTCTCGCTTAAACCCTAAGAATAAGATTGACTGTCTCCTCCAAAAACTTAGCTCTCACATGGTTTTAATTTTCTACAAATTATTTCCTTAAACTAATGATAGTGAACTTTGTCTCGCAAGTCAATTTTGAACTCTTTTTGAGCTTAGTAGGATAATTTTAATTGCTAGTTTGGTTTCCTCCTATATCCTAGATATACCATTAATTCACGTTTTGTTTTGTGTTGTGTGGTATGCATATTTCTTAATATTTCACCCACTATTTCAAATAAAATTTAATAAATCAGAGAGAGAATATGGAGTTGAAAGGAACCTCTTTAAATTTAAAAAATAAATGAGCGAGTTCAACAATGAAAATATAATTGATTTGTTTAGAGATATTTTGAAGAGGTGTTAATTTGAAGCATATGCTAGTTTGTCAGAGAGAAAATAGGTGATATTTAAAGTTTTTTGTGATTAAAATGCATATAGTCATATGAATTGCATTTCTTAACATGAATGTGACATTTTATTGGAATTAATTGTATCATGTGAAAATGTTAATCATTGCTGTGACTGGCAATGTAAGAAGAGGAAAAAAAAAAAAAAAAATGTGTTGATCATTCTCGGTTAGCATATTTTTGCACCTACAATATGCTATTCATAGTGCCCTTAACCGTAGGGGTTGACATGGTGTTTGCTTTGGCTTTGGGACCCGGAAGTTGGGTCGGGGTTCATATCATTTCACCTATGCACTGAATCACTTTTCTTTTCACGCATATATAAATATATATACGAGAGCTGTTTCACAAAATAAGCTTAGGCTAATTAATTAATTACATTCACATGAATCATAAATTAAATTTGAACAACGATATTTTGTATGCCAATAAGAAAAAGCCATGCAGTAACAAACTAATTTAGTAAGACATTTAAGTATGTAATGTAATATGTAAACTTTATAATAGCTAGAAATGGAAGTGTAATTAGAAGGAATTAATGCACCGTATACACAGACCGTATAAACATGACCGTTATTCCGTTAAAATTAAACTTCGAAATCGCTTCAAAGAAACGCGGCGTCTATATATGAGAAATTGCAAGAAAACAAAACCCTTCTCTCTTGCTTGCTTAAACCCTAATAATTGATTGTGGGTCGTTTTTTGTCCTCCAAAAACTTAGCCCTCGCTATTTACATAATCGTGTACGACTAACCCTAATTTCAAGAAGCATTTGCATATTCGTGAAACATATATTGTTAATAGAAGCAAGGAATGTGAAGAAAAGATGAAGAGAAAGCAAGAAGATGAGGTTCCATGCAAGGTTGAGCAGAAGAGTGTGTGTAAACTTGGAGATGGAGCGGCATGGTTGAGGGGTGCAATGATCGGGAAAGGAAGTTTTGGGTCAGTTTATTTCGCGGATTCGAAGAAACCCAGGTTGCGACATAGCTATTTGCCTTCCGTTATTGCTGTGAAATCTGCTGAGGTCTCTGTTTCAGGTTCAATCCAGAAGGAGAGAGAGGTTTTGAGTAACATCCAATGGTGCCCCTATATTATTCAATGTTTTGGGGATGAGATCACTACGAGTGAGAATGGTCAGATGGTGTATAATTTGTTGTTGGAGTATGGTTGTGGAGGAACCCTAGGTGGTTTGATTAAGAAATCTAACGGTTTTGGGTTGCCTGAATCCGATGTTAGGTGCTATACGAGGTCAATTCTTCGAGGCCTTAATCACATTCACAAGTGTGGCTATGTGCACCGTGATATAAAGCCTGAGAACATAATACTTCTGCCTATTACTACAGGTGCTGTTACCAAATTTAAGGCGAAGATTGGTGATTTCGGGTTGGCGAAGAGGATGGAAAAGTTTGATCCTTATTTGAGAGGCACTCCTCTATATTTGTCGCCCGAAGCTGTGGTTGATAACATACAAGAGCCTCCCTCTGATATTTGGGCTCTTGGCTGTATTGTGCTTGAGATGCTAACAGGGAAGCCGCCTTGGGATATGAAAGAAGATCAGGATGCCGAGAGCCTTCTACGTCAGATTGGTAAAGGGTGTACATTGCCTACAATTCCAAGCAAGATATCAAAAGAGGGGAGGGATTTCTTGAAGGGTTGTTTTGTGAGGACGGCCAAGTTTAGATTGACAGCTGAAATGCTACTGAACCACCCATTCATAGGAGGATTAGTTGATGATGACGGAGAAGTTGAACAAGAGGACGAGGTCTTTAATGCGGACTTGTCATTTACGCTCTCTGATAATGATGACGAGTTCAGTTCTTACAGCTTCTCGGATGATTGTAGCTTCATATCTGAAGGAGACTCCTCCTATTCTTCGTCAGAAGAAGATGTCGAGGAGATGGATAATGAATTGGTTTCTAGTTTTGCTGAAGAAGAAGCATCAGAAGTTCAAGAAAGGGTGGACATTACAAAGTCTAGCAATGCTTCTGAACTTGACCAGGTTTCATCAAACAAAATGCAGCAGTGTCCAATTGCTTTTGCCATTCCTGCTGGACTATAGCACTTATTGTCTCGGTACATTTAGTCATTCTTTAAAAGTATATTTAGAGGTCATTTTACAAAGAGCTTTCTTACTGTACATATGACATTACGTCTTCACGTGTCATATTTGTTAAAAGTTTAGGAATTATGATTCTTTTCAATAGGTTATAAACACAGCATTTAAGTATGTTATAATTGTATTTCTTGGGCACTTTCATCAGCTCAACCCTTTGTATTTGACAACGAGATTCTTAAATCTAATGACTTTGAGGTACTCGATTAAGAAACCTGTTATTGTGATATTGTTTAACACCATAATAACATTTGTATATAATGAGAAGCAATATAATTAATTTCATGATCTGTTTGTAAGATACTTCTAAAGGGTGCAATCATTTTAAACCTATTCTGTTTTATTTCCTTTTCATTTAATTACATAGTTCTATATTAATCAAACCCTGTTTGATTGCTTAAAATTGACGAACATGGAACAAAAATCTGGATTGATATGACCATTTCAGACTTGAATGGAAGTTTTCAATGCTTGAAGCAAGCTTTTCAGCCATCAAAACATTTTGTTTAGTGGTAGCCGCTAAAGATATCAATCATATTTTAAAAGAGGAATTTGTATTTTACACTTCCACAACCTGAAACAGTGAATCATCAGTTGCCTCTTAAGAAACTCAGTGAATCAAGCTTACTTGATTTGGTTGTTATATGGTCTAAGTAGTTAATATTGCATTGTGGGTGGACCTTAGAACAGATCACTTCGTGTGGTATTTACACTAACATTGGATGAAATGGTGCATTTAAATGAGTTTTGAATGGCATGCATATGCCACAGTTCCATGTATGAAAGTTAATTTCTGAATGTTAGAGGCTAAAGTGATACACTTACATTTTCTGGTTGAGGGTTTTTGACAAGAAGCTACTTAAGGCTTCTTTTTGACGATGATTAGCTCAAATGACCACATTGAAGCTAAAATATTGTTTTCACCTGTAGGATTCTGACTTTGGCATGAGACACTTTTATGCTGCATTTGATGCATTTATTTTTTTTTTATAAAAAAAAGTAGTATAACTTTGTTCAACATGCTTTGAGAGACCATGCATGGTACATGGAATGTAATCAGTTCCTTCAATAAGCATTCTTAAGCGTCTAAAACTCATCTATATCATGCCCTTCTAGTAACATACACTTGAATGATAACAATGCAGCTATAATTTGCAGAAAAAAAGAAAAAGAAAAAAAGAAGGAAGAACAAAAATAATGCCTTGTTTCTCTTTTACTAAGGGTATAAACAAATTGGGACTGATTATGTAACAATTTTAGCAACCAGAGCAGCATTTTGCCACTCATCGGTGACAGTCTTGTTCAATGAGCTATTCACACAGGATCAGCAAGTCAATACACTTGAAACCAGAGACCATCCAACCAGCACGAACCACTGTTTGAATTCTGAGTCAGAACGGAAGAAACAAATGGCCACACATTGGCAGCAAAGCACAGAAAAGCAACCGAGCACAAAAAAACCGAGATCTTCCTTGAACTGCTAGCCAGAACTCCCATCAATAGCAAAATTCTACTCTGAAGTTTAGTGATGCGTTTCAGGAGCCTTTGTCCCACTCAACTGATGTAACTTGTATCTCAGCAGGTCAGCAATCTTATTATACAAACTCAGCTGTACATTTCTGATTAAACTACGAATCATTGAAGTGAAAATACTCAGTGGTTTGCAAGATGTAAGACATCTGATTCCACAGCATGAGAGTTCGGTGAAACAGAATTGGGAAGTTGCAGAAGGCAAATACTGATCATTGTTGTCCCGAGGGTAGAAAAGCTTAAGCATATAGACCGGCATAATAGAATGCAGTGGAGAGCATGTCAGCATCATTGTAAACATCCTGAAAGCAGAGCCTCGTGAATGAAAGAGTCATCTATGCTAGAATGACACTGTTAAGAAGCTCAGTAAATTTTGCTACTAGCTCACTGCATCAATATCAAAACACGTGATGCCAACCAAGAGGCAAAATGCCTGAAGAGGAAGAGCAGATGCCCCTCAAATACCTTGGCCTTCCTCTTTGTCCTAATGGCCTAAAAAGAACAAACTGCACTGGCCTAGTTGAGAAGGTAACTAAAAAGATTTTTAGTTGGACCAATAACTTTCTATCTGTGGCTGGGAAGGTGGAGCTTCTGAAAACAGTGATTACCCGTGATTCTGTATTGGTGTAATGTAATATCTTCCATTTACCTGTATCAGTCATAAACCACATTCAAAAGCTATGCAGAGACTTTCTATGGGGCAGCAAGGAAAATGCCAAGAAGCTGCACTTACTCAGCTAGGATTTCATTACTAAAACCAAAGCTGAAGGAGGTTTAGGGGTGAGAAAGATTGTTGATGTTCAAAATACAGCTTCTTGCTCATTGAGTCGGCCAAGGTGGTCTGTAAATGCTACCTTTGTGATGTTGGACAGGCTCCCAACCATGCTGAATTTGCAAAAAAGAAATGTTATACTTGCAGCCAAATGTTCTTTATGTCTTCATGAGAGGGATACTACAGACCATATTTTCTTCTCCTGTCCATTTGCTCAACAGGTGTGGCGTTGGGTTACCTCCTTGCTGAAATGGGAAATGTCCACTTTTGAAGGTGGAACTCAATTAGGAGAATGGTACTCCTGGTTTCGACAGCAACATCAATCCAAGATATTTCGTAGCTATTTTGCTTGGATTCAATGAGCTCTCACAGCTCTCTCAACAAAAGAATGAAGGTGTCAACACACCTAATACAGTTTACTTAAGCTGTTACACAATATAAGAATGGATACACAGCTCTAAGTACACAATAGAAGAAACCCTAGTTCTCACTTCTCTGCAATCAATAGAATAGACCTGACAACACACAATGCAGCTTCACTTGATGATCAAACTGGGTTCCCACAGCCTTGTTTCAGCCTGATACACTTGCTTGAATGAAGTACTCAATTAGATAAGCAAGGTAACACAAGAACAGCTCTCAATAGGCTTAAACCCGAACTTCAACGGTAAAAGAGTCACTTCACAATGCAGCCTCAAGAATGACCTGCAATAGCCTTCCACAGCTCTATATAGCTAAGATACACTTGCTTCAGAGAGGAACTCAGTGAAACCAGCAAGGTAACTCAATATAACCGCACAAAAGGCTTAACCTTAATAAACCCTAACCTTCAAGCTCTCAAGAATAAATCTGTAATGTAGCCTCAGGGACAACCCAAACTTCACTCCCCCAGTCTTCAATAGGGAAGATACACTTGCTCACATATCTATTACATTAAACATGGCAAGGTATAACATTGCAGATACAGACCAGACTTGAAAACAGCCACAACCAAAGTTTTAGGCTCAGAAGGGTAAAACTGTAAATCCACTAGAATCTTGAGCACAACAGGATTCCCGCAGACATAATACAGCTAACCAATCTTGCTCAAATGATGGTTTACATTAGGACAGCAAGGTATCAACATTGGATGCACACAACAGCAACTTTAGGGTTAAAACCCTAGTTTTCAGCATATGCCAAACACAGCCTTAAGATAATTCAAATTCTCATCAACCAAAGGCTCCCTCAGCTTGACATTGATGGATTACACTTGGTCTGAAGTTTGGACAAGGTACACCAACAAGGACTCAACAATGTAGCTCATAAAGCATCAAAATAATAGCTCACAGCATGTGTATTTTGCTGCTACTGTAACATTCTGGTTTGAGGGGCGGGCAGTTCTGTAAATACATGACTGGACCTCCTTGAATTTAGTTCTCACAACTTTCTTTCATCATATTACACTCAATCAAACCACCACTTCTCAGTATATAGCAAGCTAAATTCAATTTGCCACTCAATATCAGCCACAAAATAGTTTTCTGCAATAGCGCTGTTCTTAGGGACAGAAATGTAATTCTGCAGCAGCACAACTCAGTTCATGCTTCTCCCATTCATATATGATCAATTGACATATGCTCAGATGAAATTCACAGCAATATCTTGGTGGTATTGTACTCACAGTACACATAGCATGCTGGTAAACATTAGTAAACCCTAACTAATGAGGTCTACTATACAAAAACTGAAATGGTCATTTTCTTGACCTTATCTCCACTTAATGAGCTTTAAATCACCAAATTAAACATGCTTAGAAGATAGACAATCAATGTATAGCTCAAGTCTAACAAGTTAAGCTCAGATTTAAAGTATTTAAACCAAAAAATCAATTCATACTAGAGGTTTGAGATATGAAAATTAATACCAGCCTCAATGTGTTGTTTTAGGCACCTTATGCAGTTGTAAACCAGCTAGATATACGCGCTCAAACCTAGGTTCTAGCTCCAGAAGTGAATTCAGCAGCATTGGTCATCCTCAACCCCCCTTTGCACCAGAAAATCAGCACCAAAGAACCTTCATGATCTTCAACACTTTTGTGATCATTGCAACCCTACTATGGAAAAGCCCTTGTCAGATTCACAAAAGAGGCACACATGACAGACTGCTATAACAGCCTCTTTGTAGTGTCCTCATTGCAACCCTACTATGGACAAGACCTTGTCACCATTAGCCAATGAATTGTGAATATAGCACTCTCTCTGAAGGACCACAGTACATGTGTCAGAGGTATAATCATGCCGCACATTTGTACACAAACTTCCACAAATACCCCTTTAGCTGACACTTGTTCCACACCAGAAAATGCTGACCTTTATCATACAAACCTAGACCATTTGATACAATGCACCTTCTGTAGAGTGCTTCACATTGTCTTAGAAATATAGATTGACCAAGATATCCTCGAGAATATGGACACACTTACTGAAATACCCTTCAATGGTACACATGTCACACACATCAGCAAACTGTCTGTACCAGCATATATGTGACTGAATGAAACTGAAACATGAGTGTTGAACCAACAACTTGAGCTTCATTAGCCCGTGGTTAACCTTGGCAGCACAATGTGTCCTCTGAATTGATAATGCCGAGAATGTAGTATACTTGAACTAAAATGGCATGGTAAGATAATGACTGTAATACCCAAGTCTGACATACGACATATGACATTTAAAGTGCAACACACCTTGATCAAACATGGGATCAACAGTACCAGAACGATCAATTGACACACCATTCTCATGCGATTCAATCAGATGCTTTTGATTGGAAGTTCCACTAAGTTTCCATTCCAAACATTGCAGCATTCTAAAAGTGTCCAAAGAAAGTTCAGCAAACTTGATCTGAAATGACAAAGCAAAACCAAGAGAGTTTTTTTACTAGTCATTTTTGGAATCATCAAGTACCAAACAGTGTCATACCGATAGCCAGTCATTAAAACTAATTACCTATCTCTGGTGATAGCTT